GTGGCATGATGGCTTGATGGTTAAATGTGCCTGGTCTTGCTGATGTAGTGACTGGGTTCGAATACAAAGAAATTCAATCCCCGCCTATCAAATGCAATGTGTATGATGTGTGGTTATCACATGTATTCATATATGCTGTGTGTGTTTGTCGTTGAAACCTCTTAACTCTTAAGCAAGCACAAGAGAGAGTAACCTTTAAAACTAGGTGATGTTGATTGAATATTATAAAATAAATAAAAATAAAAGTTAATTATGCATGATGCTATTGCTGTAAAAAAAATTAAATTAATGTTTAAAATTTAAAAATCTAACGTCTAACTTTACCTTAAAAGTTTTTTTAACTCTTAAACTTTTAAAGATTAAAAATTTAATGTTTATTTTTATAATTTTATTTAAGTTAACATTGTAAATCATTAAAGTTTAATTTAAACATTAAATTAAATTTTTTACAGCAAAGCATCATGCATATTTAACTGCTTCGATTGTTATTTACTTTAATTATTAATATTTGAAAAAATGTATTTTAATGCGATTATTCGTTTAGCGATTTATGAAAGAAAAATTAAAAAAAATACAAAATTTACTTTAGCTGCTGTCATAACAACTATCTTTAAGTTTAAACAAAAGACAATAAAGCACAAAATAACTGGCATATATTTATTTCTATGTATGCTATAACCATATAATTAACCACGAGAGTGATCGAATTGCGCTGTGTAATTGTTATCCTAATTATTGTTATCTTTCCTATATTTGTAATCTTAGGATTGTAAACCATAGAGGATTGTAAAGAAATATTGAATCTATGCCAAATCAAGGTTGTACGTTTGTGTTCAGTTTTGTTGTTAGTTTTAAATTCTTTTTCCAAGTTGCTTATTTGTGCATGAGCCAGTTTGAGTTTGCTATCAGTAATTTTGTCCACTGAATATGCAAAAACTTTTTTAAAATTGATAACGAATGTGGCCATTCTGTCAATCTATTTTTTGTCTAGAATAAACTTAAACAATTCTACAATATCACTTATATATTGTCTAACTTTGTATTACCATGTGGCGATAATTTAGGTTTTTCCACTTTTAATAATTCTAACTAGTTCAATAGCAATTTTTTTTCGTGAATTAATTCTTCGTGAGAAAGACTATTAACTATTAATTGCTTAAAATTTTCGTTATCGAAATTTAGCTTATTATTATTAAACAACCAAATTAACTTAGACATAATTATACGTTGACCCGTCATTGTTGTCGTTTATTGATCAAAACATTGTGCTCGTGTGGATATGTTATTTTATATGGTTAAAGTTATAAGCGATAGTCATTTTTTAACAGTAATTATTTTAAAAAGTATTTAAGTTAAAAATATAAAAAAATATGGACTTGTTTTTGTTTATTGATTTTCTGATACGCCACTACGGATCTCAATACGTTTTATTAACTGTTAACCAACGGTGTGGTGAATTGCAAGTGTTGTTAGACCGCAAACTCACATGCAAATCCACCACTTAGAAAAACGATAATCAAAATACTTCGTTCTTGACAAGGAAGGGCAAAAGGACATGGCTGCCATAGAATCATCCACATCGTCAGCGGTGCAAATGACTACTTAACATCAACATCACCTTCTACATTTTCAACAAAACCAACCACGTGTAATAAATCAATGTTCTGTTTAAAAAATATTTGTCAGTTTGATTTACCTCTCCAAAAACAATTAATTTGTCTTCTCTTGCTGTTTATTTATTCATTATTTTATTTCAAGTTTTAATATTTACACATCCAAAGAAAAGCAACCGCCATATTTACCGTTGAAAAGAGTAACTGATGCCCCTAGTTGATTTATTAACACAGCTATTATACAAAAAGTCATAATTTTAATTTTATTTAGTTGTAACTGCCAAAATATATTTTTTCTTTCGAAATTTCTTCAAATATACCTAAAAATGATCGGTAATTTACTTCCTTCGAGTTATTACGCATTAAGACAATGTTTTGATCGTATTTCCAAATGCTGGCATGATTACAGTGCACCCTATGTTGTGTAAAAAAATTGTCTCATATACGAATAAAGGTATATAATTATTTCAACAACAAACTGTTTTTAAACCTCAAATTACCATCCTGTGAATTGATCACAATAATGTAAGGATATTAGGATCCCATCTCGCTTAGTGATGGCTGGTTGCGGATTTACGGAAAAAGCCCGTTGTGAGCAGCGTTTTTAATAAAAGTGAGTTAAAGTCCAGAATTGACAGAAAAACACCGTTATTAAGTATAAATCGACTAAAAATTGGAGCAACAAAGAATGTATAAAAATGCCTAATTCTGGCCACACTAGCAAACATTTGATTAATTTCTTGACCCTCGTCAAATATCAACATTTAAAAAACTTTCCCTCCAACGTTATCTAGATCCGTCATTGGTGATGGTTAACACATTCATAAATTATTTTGCCTCTATTTTATATTTACACAATTGATGACCCGTTTCCTACCGCGCCATACTACAAAATCGGTGTATCCTAACTTGAAAAAACGTCTTTAGCAGATCTAAAATTGTTGTACATCCTTCAAAAATAATTTCCATCTGAATGGTTTGTGACCTGTCGTCACCGATTGAATGACCAATTCTTCCCATATTACCAGAAACATTTTTTTTTACAATAAAATAGTTCAAATGTGGAATGCGTTGCCAAAAGTAGTTTCAACACCATCATAAGTCGTCTTCAAAAATGAAATATTTTTTAATTATTAACTAATTCACCTTAGTTAAGTTTCACCTACCTACCATTCAAACATTGTTTTGTGTTATGCTCAAACATATTTTAATTATAATATAATTCAAACAATCTTATTCAAACATTGCTTTGCATTTTCTCATTATGTAGTATCTAACCTTATTAATGACTCGTGTTAAACATCTTATCAATATTCTCTACCATTAGCGTTAATGTATGATTATTTTAATCATCCAATCTCAGTCATTTATTAGTTAAATTTGTTGAATCGAATGTTTAATTGACTGCATACCTGCTTACCTGCGTGATAATGAAAAATGACGATTGAGGAGAGCATAAATTTACTATTTTTACATTATAAAGGCTTTTAAACACAGAAAGATGTGCGTAAAAGGAGACTGAATTCGCGCACATTCGTCGCATTTCATAAGAGGTTGTGCCACGTTAAAACCATTCGAGTCCTGAAATATTTGGCCGATTATCGTGCGGCAAAGTAATAGAAAACAATTGTGTGAGCGATGTCAAAAATTACTAAAAATGAACATGTTCAATGCTTTTTCCAATTTTATTCTAATGCCTGGGAGGAGAATTGTGTTTTCTCTTTTTATGAAAATGTTCCTCGTATTTTTCTTCCCTTAATTTATGAGATGTTTCTTTCGATTTTTCATCCCTTCCCTTATGAGATGCTTCTTTAAAGTTTTCGTCCCTTCTCTTAGATGTTTCCGTAAATTTTTCGTCCCTTCTCTTATGAGATGCTTCTTCGTATCTCTCAAGTCCTCTGTAACCAGACGGCTCTTTGCACCTGTCGTCTCTTCTTTTATCGGATGTTTCTTCGTATTTTTCTGCTCTTCTCTTATGAGATGTTTCTTCGAATTTCTTTCTTTTATCTGATGATTTTTTGTATACGTCATCTTTCATCTTATAAGAAGTTTCTTTGCGTTTGTAATCAGCTCTGGAATGCTCTTCACCACGGCGTCCATCAATTTGACGTCCTGTATCTTCACTGTGCTTCTTCTTCTGTAATTTTATAACAGTTGATTAGACATTAATTTAAAAAAAATTAAAATTACAATGCAACAAAATTTGGGTGGCACGTTATAAACAACACTACGACATTATACCGAGCAAAAAGAAAAACAAATTTACGTTATTTTCAAGTTCTACACAAATAAATCCAAAGAATTAATACGTTAAAAATCGTACCTCCACTCAACTGTTTTTAATTTATATCCAACAGTTGTAAAATATTTGAAATCTATAAAGAATATGCGAACTTCACATCAATATAAATGGTGGAAATAATGATAGAGTACCATCAAACTTACAATCGATAGAAAATTAAGTAGTTAGTGACATCAAATAAATTGAATGTGCTCATGCTCACTTTGTGTTCAGACTTCAATTGCTTATCTGATGAAGGTTTTCCAACGTGATCTTCGTCAAACACAAAACTGTACTTGCTATGGCTATCGGGTGTGATAAACCGAAAATAACATTAAATCAGTTTACATCTTTCAAGAAAATTGATTCATTGTAATTAATTTTTAATTAATATTTGTGCGGATTCAATTAATTTTATGTTTTCATTATCATAGCTATGACAAACCAACACAACTTCACAAAAAAATTAACTTTGTGATATCTATTATTATAACTAAACAGTGGTAAAACAATTGCCTTAACTAGATATTTTAAGATTCAAAAAAAGACAACATAACAAAAAAAATGCAAAAAATATACTCTATTTTTCTATCAAAGTTTTTAACTTCGTATTGCTTTTTTGGTTCTTCTTTTCTATCTTTTTCTGTACAAGAATAAAAGATTTTAATCAATTTAATATCACTCAACCGCTACTCTAGAAGTTTCATGCTAACTTAAAAACTTAATCATCTAACCGAAGTTGCTGCAAAATTTACTTTAATTAAATATTAAACCAATGCAAATTCAAATCATTTAACAACGTAAAACACTTGAAATCGTTTCCAATTAACACCATTTCGAATCTACTCGAGTCCACATTCATGCATTAAAAATTTCTTTATTAAATCAGCACTTTATAAGGTAACAATGCAAACAGGAAGAAGTTTGAGCACATGTTATGCATTAAATATTCTGTAAAGAATCTTCATAAATATCTCAATTAAGTCATATTAAATAGTTCAATCTATTATTCATTATATATTTTTATTATTCAATGAAATTATTGATGTACCAATGCTTGTCGTAGATAATTAATTAACAAGCTTTGTACGGTTACACGAAAATATTTATACAGTTGAAATAATCGGACTCAGCATAATTTGTGCTCGGTTCCTATAGACTGACAAACCTTTTTTGATCCATTTAATTTTGCTGACTGACTGACTGAAATCCACGTGTATCCTCCTATCATCAATTAAAACGTTGTCCATCTTGAAATAAGCTTTTTCACAATCTTCAGTCTGTCAATTAAATGCACGTACGTTAATAACCAGTCGAGAACTACTAGGGCTATATATTAAAAGTATCACTATCACCACGAACGGCAAAATAGACGAAAGCAATGATATTTTATACAAATCAGAGAAGACGATTGTCAAAGATAAGCCGTGTTGATGATGATTCAACAATGAATCTTGCTCGATAACTCAAGCTCACGTAAATTTTCAAGCTAAGACTAGCTTGATCCTCAAATTATAAAGGATAAAAAATGCTTCAAACAGCAGATTTAGCTTAAATTTTGAAAATAATTTAAATTATTATCACTGAAAAATAAAATCTTATATATTAATTATCGAGCTAAAATATTCTAATCAAATGAGACATGTTTAAACGACTAACGTTCTGAAATTCGATGAAGGCATACTGTAAGGATTCTTGGGTTTTATAATCTTTGATAACTTCACAGCTGAAAAAATTGATGAAGACAGCTCGTATTAAAATTTAAAAATCAATCATAAAAAATTATGAAGCCATACAATGCAATACATTTGACCGTACATGCATCGTATAAATGTTATAAATTGGAGAATCAGGATTTTTTCAGAATTTGAACCGGCCCACTGTGCAAATAACAACGTACCTAGTTATTGGTCCAAATCTAGAAAATATAACTTCCAAGTCTTCCTCTGTGGTAACGGGATTCAGCTTGCAGACAAACAAAACATTATCAGGCGGCTTCACGTCTGCGAACGGTATGTCACCAACCTTGCGAACGTTAAAAAAGGCAGTTGAAAATATCATTCACACGGTACTGATGAAAGTGAGTGCTGTGAACTTTTAATGAAAATATATTCTCCAATAAAAGAGACAATTACTTTTAAAAAGCATTTAAGATGTTTAGCTTGAAAAACAAACAAATTCTCCGTCAAAATTTTAGAATTCATAAATATTTTAGAGATGTAGAAAGTAGAAATTAAAAGTTATCCATTATTTCAACAAAACACACCGTTGGAATTTATGAATGAAATTTATTGCGTTCTGATTGATATAGCTTTTGTTTGCTATTTTTAATGAATTTTAAATGAAGTGCATAAATGTAATAACCAATATAACTCTAAATCAGATAAAAAAAACAAAAACTGGATACCATCTCTAATATTTGAGCGTTGGCATTTGCTTCCCTTTCCTTGTACCTCTCTTCAATTTCTTCTGCTTTCAAACCTTTCTCATCATCGACCTCTTCATCCACGTCAATTCTGCAATCCTGCTTGTTCGGAAGTGGAATTAAAAAAAAAAACGCACAAAAGGACTGTCATTAAATTATGACACACGAGGACTTGATGATACATTGGCGTATAATAATCAAGTCGTATAATAGGCACAGCACTGAGAGCCTAACGAATTGAGGTTTAATAAATAGAAGCATAATAAATTGATGCATATACATATACACACATACATACACCAAACACATATTAAGTCACGCAAAGATCAGGCAGTCAATTTGGTGTTGAAACAGACAGAAAAAGAAATTGAAACAAGAAAATAGCAAAAAACATGCACCGACATCCAACTGTTCTTTCAATGGAGTTGGTGATCTCTGCGGAATATATTCAAGCAATCCATCTGGATCGTCCAAAGGGTCATCAATGACCACCGTGTGAAATATCCTGAAAATAAATTTCCACAATGAATAAATTATAGAAAGATTTCATTTTATTCATTTAATTCTTAAATTTTATAAAATATAGAAAAAAACAAGTAGGGAAAATACTAATTTGTACAAAATGTAAAAAAATAATTAAGTTGGATTCAAATTTCTATAAAAGACAAAATAATTATAATAAATAGTTATTTGAGATTTTGTATGCAGATGATTTAGTCTTGATGGCTGATAGCAGTTAAAATTTGACAGATGGAAAAGTGTTATCGAAAAGAAATGGTTAAAAGTTAATATGGAGAAGACGAATGTAATGGTGAGTGGGGAAGGTGGGTGGGGAGCGAGTGATAAGTAAAATAGACCACTGTGGGGTATGTGACAGGAGAGTGAAGCTTTGTTCACTTAGGGGTTAAGCTGAACGCGGCTAGAGTTCGTGTGGGATGGATGAAATTTAGGGGACTGGGTGGGATATTGTGTGGTTGTCCTGGTTATGACATTAAACTGACCCTCACTGCCTTGTGAGTGATGTTGGATCATCAAAAGCTAGGCCCACCGCTTATAACTGTGGTTGCGTAAGGAAGGGCGTCCTGTGTAAAAACTAGCCAAATAATAATACTTATGATAACGGAAAAAACAATGGCCCTCAGTATCCGGCAGAAGAGGGTGCGAAGAATCTCCGGAGACCCAGTCCATGGGGTTGTGGTGCAAGGCCCTGTGGATGGTCTGGCTACTGGCACCCCACAGTGTGGCGGTGCAAGGCACTATAGATGGAAGGACTACTTGTAGACCAAGGAGTTGGAGGTTTGGTACCTGGAATGTAGGCACGTTGACAGGAAGAAGTTTGGAAGTGGTGGAGGAGCTGCAGAGGAGAATGGTTGACGTGGCTGCATTACAGGAGATCAGATGGAAGGGTGAGGGTACAAGGTTTGTGGGGGCTAAAGGTGGAAGATATAAGTTGTGGTGGAAGGGGGATGATGGTACGGGAGGAGTTGGTGTGATGGTAAGAGAAGAGTTGGTGGAGAAGGTGTTGGAAGTGAGGCGGAGAAGCAATTTTGTAATTGTGGTGGTGATGGTGTTTGGAAAAGTAATAGTGAGGGTGATATCAGGATATGCTCCGCAACAAAGTAAAAAGGAAGAGGAGAAGGATAGGTTTTATGATGATGTTTCTGACGAGATTGGGCAAGCGGGGTTGAATGAGTTTGTGGTGTTGTTGGGTGATTTGAATGGTCATGTGGGGACGGATGCAGACGGATATGAAGGTGTACATGGGGATGGGGATATGGTATACGGAATGAGGAAGGGCGTAGAGTGTTGGAGTTAGCGGATGCACATAGCATGGTGGTGGGGAATACTTGGTTTACAAGGGAACCAGCGCGATTGATTACTTATAGGTCAGGGGAACATAGATCGATGATAGACTATATATTGGTAAGGGCCAAACATAGGAAGTATGTGAAGAATGTGAAGGCGATACCTGCAGAGAGCAGGTGGAGAAGGACATAGTGAAAGCGGAATTGCGTGATACTGAGGCGAGTGACAGATGTGAATGGCGTCGAGGGGTATTTCGGTTTCATCATAGCTAGCCAAACGGCAACCCCCGATCTCGGGGAAAACGTCGTCTAAACGTGTGTTGTTGTATAAAAGACATAATAATAATAAAAAAACTGTGACCTTATATGTTTGTAAGGTTTGTTGTCCTTGTCGGTGATTGTGTTGTTCAACTTTTCAAGAACATCAAAACCCTCGACCACCTCACCAAACACAGTGTGATTTTGTGTGTCCAAATAATCTGTATCCTCCGTCAGAGTTATCAGAAACTGGAAATTGACATCAGAGTAAGTTTTTCTATAAAAACATATAATTTGAAAATTTTCATCATACTTTTAAATATTAAAACAGTGTATGAAAAACATTAGTAGTCATTTTTGAAAGAGAAGAGTAAAATTTAGTTCCTAAAGCCATAATATATATATATATATATATATATATATATATATATATATATATATATATATATATATATATTTCAAATTTATATTTCGGATTCAGGTTTTTCAAATCCGGCCGAGGCCAGACTTGACCGGATTTAAAATTCAAAAACCGGCCGGGGCTGGATTTTAGTTACCATTTTACACACGTTAGAAAAAATACATTTACGGTTATCTACATGTTGAACATCAAAAAATAACACCAAGCAAATAGTTAATTAATTCAAATATATGAATAAGCTGTGTGATACGCCAAATTCTGTACGCAAAGATCAGCTTATAATTTATGCATATTTGCATAACCCATGTTAAAGCACAAAGAAAATTGTCCAGCTCACCGCACAATTAGTGATGTTGTAATTATGTGTCATGTATACCTAGCGTAACCTTTAATATACCATGTTTTTAAATTATGTGCTTATGTATCTCTCTCACTCTCTTTCTATATATATATATATATATATATATATATATAGAGAGAGAGAGAGAGAGAGAGAGATATCTTTATGTATATATATATATATATATATATATATATATATATATATATATATCAGTAGCTATATGATCCGTCATATACAATTATATAGTATATACACGTGCACAAGTTCTTTTACACAAAGATCAGCTAATAATTTATGCATAACCCATGTTATGGCATAAAGAAAATTGTCCAGCTCACCTCACAATTAGTGATGTTGTTATTATGTGTCATGTATGCTTAGCCTTTAACATATTGACATAAAATTAATTGAATTCGATAAAATTTTTTTTTCTATTTATAACATTTTTAAATGTTGATAGACGCTTAAATCCGGCCCTAAATCCGGCCGGATTTGAAAAAAAGCCGGATTTTGGCCGGGGCTCGAACTTTGGTGCATCTCTTATATATATATATATATATATATTTATATATATATATATATATATGTATATATATATATATATAAACTGTATTTAAATTGTCTAAAAAGTTAGACAAATTGTGAAAAATGTTCTCGAAATTAAACATCGCTTAAATAAAAGTTTAAAACGTAAATTTCGGTTGATCTCTGGTTGATTTTTCGTTGTTGCATATGTCGGCAGGAAAAATAACCCTTAACGAAATGTTGTATTTTATTTTCCACAACAGTGACATTATAGATAATAACTTGCTTACCAACTGTATTTTAGGAAATTTTCCACCAGAGGAATATATTTCTTCTTAAAAAACAATGGTAGCCCAACTTACCGAAATTTGTTAACCATGGAAATTTTAAGAAAGATAAATTAAACAACCTACTAGAGGTTTGTCGTTATGTTTTCAAAGAGAAGCTGTAATGTAAACTTCCAACTTACGTTGCCCTAAATTTGCACAAAATTCCATGCTTCTTAAGTGACTCTTATAAAACTTAGCAAATGAACATCACACAAAATAGTTAGTACTCTCGAAATTCATATGGGTGTCTTGGCAAATAAGTCAACAAGTGTGTTTCTCAACTGCAATTGAACAACTCTATTTCTACAAATCCTTTGGCTATGCTAAAGATTTGGGCAAAAAGAATGCAAACTTCAACAGACAACCCAGACACGTTCACAGTTGTTGAATCTAAGAAAAAATATGTTCAAACTAACTAACCTTCAATCAATCAACACCACAATGACGCAGTCTCACAACGAAAAACAACTGTAGGAAATCGACATCCGCAGCTTTCAAAAATCTCTTCTAACAAAGTCATAGCCAAAAAGAAATTCTTGCACATTATCTTGCATATAACTAAACCTATAGCTAACATTTTTAAAAAATACATAGAATCTGGTGTTTTCCCATCAATTTTCAAAACTGTCAAAGTTGTTCCCATATACAAAAAAGATGACAAAAATCTGGTTAACAATTATAGGCCAATTTCACTATTGTCGCCTATATCCAAAATGCTTAAAAAACTTGTCCACTATCGAATGCATAGTTACCTCACAAGGTATAGTATTCTCAGCTCGTGCCAGTTTGGATCCCGTAGAGACGCTTTACTGAACTTGCAGTATTACATTTTGTTCAAAATACATTATCAAATATGGAAAAAAAAATGTTAACGCTCGGCGTCTTCTTTGATCTTACTAAAGCATTTGATTTAATCGTTCACAATTTACTGTTGAGAAAACTTCACATGTATGGTTTCAGAGACAAATCTTATTTGTGATTTAAATCTCCCCCAACAAATAGATCTCAGTACGCCTGTTTATATAACGGTAACTCTAAAAAAATTAGCTGTTCCAAAAGTAGTCCCCCAGGGTTCTATTCTGGGTCACCTGTTATTTATTCTATTTATAAATGATTTTTGTGTCCTTAATAAGATATTTAAGGTTATATTATATGCAGATGATACCAACCTTTTCTACTCTTCGAAGACGCTTGAAAACGGTGTGGATTTAATTATTATTCAACTGGATTCAATTTGTAATTGGTTTTTGTGTAACAAACTCTAATATTGAGAAATGTGCTTATTTATGTTTTGGTCCTAAGATTCTTACCAAAGCCTTTGGCCCACCAACTTTAATAAAATAAACCGACGACATTCAGGTTCTAGTCACAGGTTCGTTTCGTGATGAGGTTGATAAATTTGTCCAGTGTTTGAAAGAGGTTGGATATTGGATTTCATCAAACTCGCTCAAGCTCAATGAATATAAAACGCAGTTGCTACCGGTAGGTACGTGGCAGCAGTTGTCAAAACAAGATTTCTGTTCTGTTGAGATGGGAGATGTAAAGATATCATTATCTGCAACTGCATCAAATTTAGAAATTTTACTTGATAGCAATTTATCAATGAAAGACTACATTAAAAAAATATATGTCAAGTAATATTCATTTAAGAAACATTTATCGAATCAGACATTCATTAGATAGATCGGCACTGGTGAAGCTGATTCATGCTTTTATAACATCGCGAATTGACTACTGCAACAGTCTGTTTTGTAAACTTCCAAGAAGGTCAATAGCTCTTCTTCAGTCGATTCAGAACAGGGCTGCAAAATTGGTAACTGGCAGGATGAAGTTTGATCACGTGACGCCCATCCTGGAGGAACTACACTGGTTGACAATAGATAAAAGAGTAACTTTTAAAATAGCTGTACTTGTGTTTAAATCACTGAATGGGATGTCACCAGAATATCTCGTAAACAAACTTTCAAAAAAAAAAATGTTTGCGTCGTTTCATCTACGATCAGATGATATGAATTTGTTGACAATACCGGTTTCAAACTTGCAGATTTGTGCACGGAGTATTTCTGTTGCAGGTCACACCGTGTGGAACAGCTTGCCACAGTCATTGCGATCATCCGGACTGTCTCTTAGAGCATTTAAAAAAGAATTAAAAACATATTTGTTCACTGTTAAACTTTGATAATTTTTTTTAATAGTATTGCAGACTTCAATGTTTATATAATTACGATAGCGCCTTTGAGAACATTTAATTGGCGCTATATAAGTTTCCTATTGACTGATATATATATATATATATATATATATATATACGATTCATAAATTATTAGAAAAAGAGACAAGTGTTAAAAATAAAGTTGATTCAATGCACAGCACCGATGATTTAAAAAATTTTTTGCTGACATGAGTTCAGCGTTCGATACTGTGAACCATAAAATCCTGTTGGACAAACTGAAATATTGTTATGGTTTAAATAAGATTGCGTTAATGTGGTTCGAATCATTTCTTACTGGTCGGGCTATGGTATTTAAAAGTTTGAATTGTCTGGCTCAGAAATATTTAGAAGATAAATATATTATAGTTTCATCTATGCCATCCCATGGGCATCTAAGGTCCGCTGATTCAAACACGCTGTTTTTAAGAGATCGGAATTTGAAAACAGCAGATAGAGATTTTGCAGTTGCTGGGCCTGTTTTTTGGAACAGCCTACTTATCGAATTACGTATATCTGGGTTAACATTAGTTGAGTTTAATAAACGTCTGAAGACATAACTATTTGGTAACTCCTAGTGATCTCCACTGGTAATGGCTTTGTTTTCAACATGCTTTATGCGAGGAGAGCGCTATATAAATATAAAATTTGATTTGATAAACATATATATACGAATATACTACTCCAACCAAAGAATGTCATCTCAAGTGATGAAAAACAACCGCACTAATAAACAAGAATTGATGATGGATCATAGCTATCTAATATATTTGTCCAAATATAATATTGGTGAGTGTGGGCACCATAATTCCGAATATATTAGTATGACGACGACCAAGTTATCGAGAAGACTCACGATGCACGTACAAACTGGTGCTATAAAGAATCACATAAAAGAGAAAAACAAAACTAAAATAACTAGACAAATCTTGGACCACAAAGTTGAAATCTTACATTACAATAGCAACCATTATAATTTACGACTAGCCGTAGAAAAAAAACGTCCGATAATAAATATTCAACAACGTGCAATTGGAATCCTTCCTTACTAATAAATTTAGAAACAGAGGAATCATCAATAATGAAAACAAGTAAAAGTGTTATAATTAATGAAGTTGAAGATTGTAAAACTAATTAAATGAGCGTTTAAAGTATTCACTTTAAACAAACAAGGAATCAACAAAGTAGAGTAGAGGCATACTATATATATATTTGAAAATCTGGGCATATACACAACATATCAATTTGAACACAGAAGATGGTATAGGAATACGGAAAAAGCTTTTTTGTTCTATCGCGCATAAGATAAGAAAAAATTTTGGTTTGGAACTCAAGAAACTTGAAAATGATTTACGATCAGCCGTTAGAAAAATCGAAAAGTTGAACAGGAAGTTAACAAACGCCGAACAGGCTGTGATTTTCGTCATTTGCATTTCTGACAGTCTTAGTCCAATATATATAATTATATATAGTTTAGGCATAATATACCGACTTAGATTTAAATATATATTACAAACATATTTTACTAACAATACATACAATAGTAATTCTATTGTTATGCCTTTTTTACTTGTACTTTAACTTGGGGTTTTAGCAGAAGTATCAAAATCAGTTAGATATAAATAGCTGACAAATAATGAAATATAAAGAATAAAGTCCACAAACTTGAGATCCATGTCTGCCATTGCCATCGTTAATCATAGAAACTAATCCTAATTTTGTGTGTTTTATACGAGGCTTTGTCTCGGCCTCAAAGTAAGTGGCTTGATCTCCGTATAAACATTTGAACACTGACTCGCCACCTCGACCAGTTCCTGTTGGATCTCCGGTTTGAGCAACGAAATTTCTCTATTGAATTTATATTTTTGATAATAAAAATAATTTAAATTATATTTTAACTTTTGTATACGCAATGCAAAACTTCCTTCCAATGACCCTTACCTCGAAAGTTACGATAATAAACAATTTAGAAGTTTGAAGACCTAACGATTGTCCATTTCCGTTAAATACTATTTCTTAACACAGCATTAAAGCTTTTGAACATAAGTATTCATCAATTTTGCTGACCACAAGATAACATGCGATCTCTTTCTCACAAAAACTTTTTCTAACTTTTCTTTTTCAATATTTCGTAAGACATGTTCACTAACACCAACATCATCAATGTTTAACGGCAAAAGTGATTACGACTCTTTTTCTTCTGGTTTTGACAACCCGCTTTAAAAACTCGACTCCAACAACTTGGCTTCAACTTACTTAAATTTTGAAAAATATTTTTTGTATAATAATATCCTATTCGCTTAGAGATTTTTTAATGCACAGTTGGCTTTACCATTAAAATTCTCAAAAAAAAAATGAAAGAAATTTCTCTACATTTGTTTATTTTCATTCTGATCTATTACATTTTTTATAAGTTAACATTTCTTACATAGTAAAAAATCTTAAAAAATTTTTAAATATAAAATAAGCCACAGTTATTCTACATAATCTCATATATATTTAAGTATCAGTTTTGTTATGTATATTCTGCTTTAATTGCTGTTGATGCCTATATATATTTGATTCATTTACATTAGTTATCATTGCTTTCATCAGCAAGCATTTAATCAACCATAGTTTCCCTTCAGTTTCTATCATGAAGAACAAGTTGTTTGCACTAAATTTATTCATATTTATAGGCCCCTCTCACTACATCTTCAGTTCAGTGAATTAGTTAATTTTTAATTAATAAATTAGTTAACAAGGGAACAGTGGCGTATCTAGCTACCAACTTTGACGGGCGGGGTGGCCAACATTTGAAGTAATGTGATCAAAATTGGACTGATGACCCTTTTTTTCTTGCCACGTCAATTTTTGATAAAAAAAGGTTCTTTTTTTGTTAAAACAATGACTTTTACTGACTTTTAATACTAGTACTGCTCATGACAGAGGTTCCCGGACCCCTTAGATCTACAACTGAAGGGAACAAAAACAAATAAAAATGTTTAACGCCGAGTTGGTTGTGAAAAAACATTACCAAATTTATTGCTTTCAGTCAAAAAAATCAAAAAAGATTTTGTAGAAATTTTGTAATTAAACCTATTTTAAATAAACATACATGGTAAAACAAAAATCAACTTGCCTGAACGGTGTGAATTAAGTTGTAGTTAAATTTTTTCAGTTTACATAGCTTTAAAAAATTTAGACAGCCTGTAAAAGTTTAAAAAGTTATTATTGATATCATTAACATAAAAATTTGAATATACTGTTCAAAAATGGCTAAATGTGTTGAATTATTTTACTTTTATATATGATAATTACAGCCAATTACAGGCACATAAATTTCATATAAAGCTATTAATAAAAGCTAAAAATGTAAAGTTAAGAGGATTGACCATTCAGTAAATTTTCTGCATTTGTTAATACATTAAAACTCGTTTTGTTTAGATAACTCAAACTATAAGATTAAAATTCTGTTACAAAAACTACTAAGAGCAAAAAGAAATATTTTTTTAGTTTGTAATGAAATATCTTCATTCAATTTTAAATACAGCTATTAACCAATAGCATTCATCTATGACAAACCAATAACTAAGAACATAAAGTTGCAAGTAGTAACATCAAGTTACTTCGTTTGACACTAAGAACTGAGTTGTAAATGTGACCGACCGTCTACATAACCACTACTGACATTATACTTTAAAACTTTTGACAGCCTTATTGATAATTTAATTTAATATTTAACTTAATCCTAATCCTTGAAATATTCAATAAGGGGAATACACGAAGCCGTATAAGACACTCATTACATCTCATCTATTTATTTTTTTTATTATTCTTTAAAAATCAGGATCTGACAGACGCAGAAACTGTTACAACATGTAAGGCAGTAGTACAAAATTAAACAAATAAATACAAAGAGTGAGAAAGAAAAATGTTAAAACATGAAAAATAAAATAAATTAGAATAAAATAAATAATAATAATAAAATAAATGAAAAAAAAGAAAAGTAATTGACAATAAAATATAAAATGAAGTAACGGCATAAAAACGCAAATTAATAGACTAGATGATGACTTAGTGAGTTAGTGAGGTGATCGATAAATAAAAACTAGATCTGTGAATGATAAAGTTTTAATGAGTATTAATATGTTTGATGATGACTTAGTGAGTTTAGAACTGCATTCAAAAAACATTCATTACTTTTTCTCTAATGACAGAGGAAATTACTACAAATAATCCGACGGGGGCAGTTGAAGTTTTATGGTCACATCATGCAGAAGGAAGGAATGGAAAATCAAACAACCACTGGAAAGATTGCAGGGAGAGAAGATCGCGGTCAACAACGAATTACATTCGTGAAGTCCTCATATCACTTGTTGAATATCACCACATTTCAACTAATCGAATTTTTCTTCATTCAGTTCCTCAGTTGATTTCAAGCAAACAAAGTTAATCAAAAAGTACGTATTCAATTAAAAATAAATAAAAGTACTTTGGCAAAGCCAGTAAAGAATAACTGTCATATGATGTAATTAGATAATCTGAGGTTTATGTACCTACCGACCCTACAATACAGACAAATAAAAAAAGAATTAATCATGATAGAGAGAATCACAAGAATCCCATATCAATCTCTGTTTTACCCAGTCTTGGTATCATCAAGGGATACAAAAACTAGAGAACAGAGCTACTAGCTGTTCGCTACAAAACTCATAAAAATATTTTGATTTTTTCAAGATGAAACTTGATTTATATTTGCATTTAATTCTTATTTATTTTGAAATCCAAATTCTCTAGTGGCTGGGATGGTATACCAGTCAAAATCATAATTTCAATTGTTGGTTCGACAGCTGCTATACTTGCTCTGCTGTTTAATCTCTCTATTGAAACAGGAATACTCGCACAATTTTTTAAATTATCCAAAGCAATTCCAGTTAAAAAGGGAATAACAACATAAGGCCTATCTCCCTGCTACCAGCATTTTCTAATGTCTTCAAAAAAATCATGCACAAAAGGTTATCCAAATCTTGACAAAAACATGATGTACTGTCAAAATGTCAATATGGCTTTAGAAAAAATTATTCTACTGAATAAGCCTTTGTTGAACTAACTCGTAAGATTGGACTGGAAACTGAAAAAAAGCTATGTAACGGGTATATGCTTTGATCTTTCAAAAACCTTCGATTGCATAGATGATTCAATTCTTCTGTCAAAGATGCAGGCATTCCACGTCCGTTAGCTGTCGAGTCGTCAACAATATGTGCATTGGAACAATAAAAATTATTCAACGATGAAAAATAACGTATGCAATTCAGATGGTTGAAGAATTGAAAACTTGAAGACTCATTTATTTAATCCATGAATGTGAACTAACTTATTTTGTGATTTACTTTATTTCATATTATTCAATGAATGTGAACGAATTTATTTTTTGGTTTATTATATCCACTGTTTTGGCCATTTTAGTTAATTATTGGAAAGCGCCTTTGAAAAATTAACACTATTATTTTTAATTGGCGAATTACAAATGTTAATAATAATAACAATAATAATATATATATAAACACAGTTGTAAAAAAGTCACAGCATTTTCAGCATAATTTTCTATATAATTTTTAAATCTTTCTTACGATGAATTTTAGTTGATTATTAAGTTTTCTTTAGGCAATCAAGAAGATTAAAAAAACTTAACTAAGTGCAAACAAAAATTCAATAATTTGTCAATATTAGCAATAAACAAATATGCAATTTATAAACAGAATAAACGGCATATACAAATAAAATCAAAACTGTTTCCTAATAAAAAATTGAACAATTAAAGATTCAAACGCAAACAAAAGGTAAAAATTAAAAATCAATAAGGCATATGATCCCAAAATTCAGTCAAACTCGACAACATTTCTAAGCAGGTTTCCTTTACAAAAAGTTTTAAAAGAAATAATTGGCATATCACTGGCTTAAACGCTGACAATTTTATTCCACAGCTTAACTCCTCCAACTGACCAATTCATATCATTTGTCATAGTCCTACTTTTAACAAAGCATAGCATACCTTTCTGTCTTGTCGATGAGTTTGAGTATTCAAATGAGTTTAAAAATCTATAGTTTTTGTAGTGGAAAACTTTGCTTTTACAAATTTGATGAAATATATTATTTCTAAATGTTTTTTAAATTATATTTATTGGTATAATATTACAAGTTAGCGATGTACTTGCGCCCCGATAGTTACAAGTGAGTGTTGTCTACTTGCAACACTGTTCTTAAATACAATGGAGTGGTTCATTGTACATTGATTAGTTTCATGAGATTTTTATTTAACAAACCAAAATTTTGTTGTCAATGTTTTTGAAAATTTGTGTGTTTTGACTAATGATATATCAGCAACATATTGTTCACAGAGCAATATATTATTAAATTAACATTGATATCTCAAAGATATGTTATTAATTTACCATGGACAAACATTTACAGCGTCTTAAGCAATTTTTGAATAGTTCAAAAGTGATATTTACTGGTGATTTATCCATTAATATACATTGATTAAATATAATTAAAAATATGATGAATGTTTGGTTAAAATAAGAATGATATGCTGTGGGCTGTTCAATTGCATCGCAAGTCTAACTATACATATAGATTGAATTTCTAAATGAATTGAGAAGCTAATTTAAATTATTATTTTATCATTAGTCATTTTATTTTATATTATATCATATATGTTGTTGTTGCCATATCATATATTATATTATAATTATATCATATTATAAACCATATATTAATAAGTAAAGTTCTATTTCTATCAAATTGATCCAATCAAGCAAACTCAAATTTAATTTTATTTATATCATATCAAGTACTTTTTAGCTTTGCCAACAAGACAAGGACATCCAATATTGTAGATTAAATTGTAAATGATGGAGTAAAAAAATGGACTTCCTAACAAATTAAATCAATGAATCTTTCTTAATCAATCTAAAATTTTCAAGTTTAATAAGGTATTATTTTTATTTATAAATAACATTTATTAAACATTCATTGATCATTCCTAGGGAAGAGGCTATTTGCTGGCTTTTACAGCCTTACATAAACTACCATATTACTAACTGAACTCACAATTAAAATAAATGACATTTTTTAATTAATAATAATTATTATTAAATTAAAAAACAAAATAAATTTTCATGGATGGTTCAAATCAAAAACAAATCAATGGAACTTAGGAACCACTACTAAAAAATGACTAACACTTGACTAAATTTAAATTTTAAAAACTAAACATTACTTTATTGTTTATTCTTTATTACTAAACTAACGAATACAAAACTTACATCTAGGACGTTGTTCTACATATAGATCAATCGTGATGTCTCCCAGCGATGTCTCCAGAATCACCGACATTTTCCGAGGTATGATTCAGTTAATAAATTTTTCAAAAGTGCTACAGCGTACCTGAGAACACAAGTCCAGACACAAATAGCAACGTTTGTAACACCAGTTTCACGAATGTGATTATCAAATTTGATGATCAACCACATATAAATATGGAGTGCCGAAATACTTTTGTTTTACAAATTATTAAATATAAATTTATGATAAAATTATAGTTGACAAAAAAACATGTAATATCTAAATATTTATTTAATGATAATTAATATACAATTAAACAACTCACGTAAAAAAAATTTCGGTTTTTTAAATCATTTAAAAAATATCCTTACAGTGGAAGTTTTATTATTTTACACCAATCGACACAGTATTGTATGCTTAAAAGATTATTAAATATATTTATTCATGGCAAAATTGTAGTTAACACGCTGTACCAAAATATATTTAACAAACAACTTTTTACAAAAGTTAACAGTGTCTGGGTTTTTACTCATTTAAAAAATATTCTGAGAGTAAATTTTTTATTATTTTACATCAATCGACACAATATTGTATGTATGTTTAAATGGTTATTAAAATATATTTAATAAACGGTTAACATGGCTGTTTTACAAAATTCATCAAATCAGTCTGTTTTTATTAAATTAAAAAATATTCTAGAAGTAAATTCTTGATCATTTGATATAAATTGACTCAGTATTTAAAAAATTATTCAATATATTTATTCATGACAAAATAATAATTGAAATGCTGTATTAAAATAGATTAAATAAATAGTTGTCATGGCTTTTTCAGAAAATTCATCAAAACTGTTTCCTCGATGTAATTCACTTAAAAAATATTCTGACAATATATAAATGAATATATAATTAATGTTGTATATATATATATATATGTGTGTGTGTGTGTGTGGTGTGTACGCATGTATAATGTATATAATTTTTTATTAAATTTTTTTACTTTAAGATACCCATTATTTCTTAAAATATTTACGTTTTAAAACATTATTTAATAATGACGATTATGCTAAAGATAACAACTAAGACAATTTTTTAAAACAACGCTACTGTAAACTGTTCAATTTTTCTTACATCGCAAGTTGCTAATGGCTTACAACCCTAAGAGCTATTAGACCTCGGTTATACAAAGTAAAACACCATCATAGCATTTATTAAAATCATTGACATTTTTTGCTAGAATTTAAAAACACCCCAATTTACATAACACCATCATTGTATAATATAATGACATTGTCTGCTAGCCGTGTGTGCCAAATCATCATTTTAGAATTTAGATAGTGTAAGTTAGTTAATTGAAACATGAGTTGGCATTGAGAACGAGCAAGTGTTCAAAAATTTTTGTTTTGGATGATAATCTGTCGTAAAATCGATAACAGCTTTTGTCAACAAACAGACAAACAAAGAACCAAATAATAATCAAACAAACAGATGAACAAGTGGAATAAAAAAAGTTTAAAATTCTAAAAAAAGCAAGCGTCACAACGATATGTAAATTGATAATAATGGGCTATAAATTGACGGTTTCTATATATTTTTTAAAATTATTTATTTGTGTTTATATGTACACACACTCAAACACAAATGCGAATACATTCATATATACATACACATACATACGTAAACTGATACATGCATACACACACACACACACACACATATACGGTAACAGATACAATCATACATGCATACAACATACATACACACATACATACATTTCCGGTATTCCTTTACCATCTTCGATATTCGAAAACATGGTACAGGAACCAACGTTTGGTTGTTTTATGCATTGTTCATGATAAATATTGCTGCATTTGCAACACCAAATCATTTGCAATTATTGAAGTATTACCATTAACTCGGTTGAGATCATCGCACTGCTTCTGTTTTTTTGCCGGAGTCGGTTGAAAATTCGGTTGAAAGTTTAAAATTCAACTTTTTTCAAAAGACATTTTTTTAAATTTTAAAACGAATTCAAATGCAAACTGATTTTATGAAACATAAAAAAATAATATAAGACGCGCCAAATCGTAAATGGAATAAAATATGAATGCGAACAAAACATAAAATTATGAAAAGTCTAAATAATTAAAGACTATTATATTTTTTGATTTACTTTTTGTTGATATTAGTTTTCAATAAAAGAAATAAACTAAAATAACATGAATTATTTTTATTTTGTGCCGCAAAACACTATTTTAGTATAAAATATAGATTATATTCTGAAATAAACTTGTATCAAATTTATATAATAAATCAGCGTTATTTTTATTGTTAAAAAGAGTCGATCTCAAAATTTTTTTTAATATTTAACACTATCTTGAATTGAACTGCCTTTTGAGATTCAAGGACCACTTAAAAAATGTGTTTCAGCCGCGGACCACTACATCACTTAATTGCATTGCATTGCTCGTTTATTCACTCGTTAAAATTGTTAGAATACAGCACAATAACTAATCGACAGGTAAATCACGGAATAAAACCAATGGTCAATAATTAAGCTTCTCTTGTCTAATTACATTGAGTTCTTCTAGCTCTGGCATTCTTTACTGCGGTGAGTTTCCAGCTATCAAAAGTATTACTTCTGACACCAGTGTTTTAATCTCCTGGAGATCCCACTTTTGACACCAGTGTCGTAACTTCCTCGACCTCGTAACTACCAACACCGATGTTATAGCTTCAATACTCTCTATATCTCCAACATCGTGTTGTAGCTTCCAACGATAGTCAAAAGTTTGTTTATCCGTAGGTTTAAGATTTCCGATAGATAAACACAACTACTTCAAACGCAAACTAAGTTGAATGTTTTTTATTTAATACTAGCAGTAATAGAAACAATAAATTAATCCAAATAACTACGTAAATCACATTTACGACTTCGCATCGAATCTCACTTCTACGTCAACTGTCTAATGTCTTCTCCTTCCCTGTTCTTCCCTTTGTTCTTTTTTGTTTCTTCGTTGTTTACATAGCTACCTATCTGCTTGTAAATGTGCCACATAGCAATGTCACGTCCATAAATGAATTTTCAACGTTTTAGTTATTTTACAATTTTTAATTAATTTACAAGCGGTTCATTCCTCAAGTGCATGCTTAACAATCTCTAACTATTAGTTTTTATCTCGATCTCAAGTCTGTAACAATATATATATATATACATGGTAACATGCAACTTGCTAAGATGTGTACAATGTATGTTTTTTAATTGCAATTATTGAAAATTTATTTGTTTTGATTTATCAACTATTTATGGCATATTTGTATAGGGTAAATAAGCAAATATTTTTGTGTTTAACTACGTCATTGTCCAATTCATGAGTATGCAATGTAGTTTTATTCAAAAATTGTTGCAACGATCTGTTAGCTTATTTTATTACGCTATCATTGTAAACATCTTGAACTGTTGAAGGGCGATATTTTATGAAACCATTGTGCTTGACGAGAAATTTGTTTTTGGATCTTTTCATTTTCTGATTGAACATTTTTCAGTTAGTTTTTATTCAATTTCAAAGGTTATAAGGTTTGATTATTGAAAGTTTATTTTATTATTTAAATAATTTGGAAAAAGTATACTTTTCTGCCTAGTCGTAAGAAAGAAAGACAAATAATTCATTTCATCATCATACCAATACCTTCTTTTCTTGTAAGCATTTATTTTTAATAATGTATTCATTCATCATCATGCATCATTGTTTTGTGTTTAGTTCAGAAATAAGCATGAACTCACATGAAGTGAGAAAGTGAACTTGGATTATTATTATTAATAGAAATTAAAATGTTATTGTTGTTATTTATTCTAATACAAAATACACCTACACTATACTATACTATATACTATGTGTATATGACATGTATATGTCATACTATAGTAAAGTAACTATTCTCATGTATAGTATACTATATATAAATATATATATACTATGTAGTACATAGTATAAATAAATCAGATCTAGAATAATTTACATTTAATTAATTTATTTTTATATATCACACTTAAAATGAAATAATTAATAAATTAAAATAAAGTGGCACATTTACTAATTTACAATGGAAATGTTTTTAAAAACATGGATTCATATGATATCTTCATGTTGAAACTGCCAGAATGCTTATGCAAGAGCATGGTAGGCAGGAAAATTTACTTTTATGAATCTTAAATGCTGATAGGCATGAAAATATACTTTTTATGTATAACATAACAGGTAGTATTATATTCATTATAAAGTCAGGTTAATATACTTTTCAACTGTACCAAAAAATTACACTTATATATATGTTTTTCATTAATGTATTTCACTTTTTATTTCATTTATATTCCCTATTAACAAATAAATAAATAATTAATTATAAATATTAATTGCATAGTGTATATGTATATGTATAGCTATTATATGCTTAAGGCATAATAAAAGGAGGTTTACAGTCTTGTGAAAAAAATTAAATTGAATGATATCTGTGGTATTTTCTTTGAATTAATTTACTTCACATCATTGTAAACGTGTAAACTAAACTTATTTATGATGGGCTTTGTTCTTGATTTTTCTTACATAAAATTATTTTTTGAACAGCGAATGATCTCTGTTGTATTTTTAAACAAGAGTTTGCTTCATTTATCAAAGCTGACTTCTTCACTTGGATTCTTCGCTCCACTAAGATGCCATTCTTCAAAAAAACTTCTCAAATCATCTTTAAAAATTATTGAAAACAAGACCAACATTCTTGTGGGTAGCAATGTAAGTCTTACAGACACAAATCATGAACTATCAAAATTTGATGGCATAATTAGTACTACAAATACGAGAAATCCTATTTCTGTATTTGTGAGTGACACTGACAGAGATTCAGTCGGCGAAGTTACTGAAGACAAAAATGAATTAGAACAATTAAAAAATGGTGCAGCCAGCAACAAAGTTTTTGAATGCTTTGGGACTCCAGATCCATCACAACCCGTCAGTGATGTAGCATGCCCTGGCTGTGGTGCACTCCTTCATTGTAAGAATTCTAGTCTTCCCGGCTATCTGCCATCACAAACCTTTCTATCTGTCCCAAGCAGTCATTTGAAGTATGTCAACTGTCAAAGATGCTATTTGCTGGAGGAGAAAAATATTTTGTTCAATACAACTGTGAAACAAAAAAGTTACAGACATTTTCTGACAGAAATGAAACAACACACAGCATTAATTCTGCTTGTAGTTGATATGACCGACTTGTCAAATTCATTTCACAGTCTTTTCAAATATTTGACAAGTTCTAGAAGACCTATGTTCATTATAGGAAATAAAGTTGACCTTTTGTACAAAGACAAAGATGGCTATTTGACAAGAGCCAAAAAATCATTAGTCGAAATAGCTGCCAGAAAAGGGTTTAATAAAGAGAACAATGTTCAAGAATTTTTTCTTGTCAGCTCTCAAACGGGTTTTGGAATCGAAGATTTAATCACTAAAATTCTCAATTTCTGGAGATTGAAAGGTTTCAGATTTTAAATTGTTTTTAATAATAGAAAAATTGAAAATGTTAATTGAAAATGTAAATTGTTTAATATTTGAGTTTCTACATTTATTAGGAAAACGAGCTTATCTTTCTGTTGTAATGAAAATATAATTATACAACTTATACTATAATACAATATACAAAATATAATTTCTGCAATCTCTTGTAGAGATTATTTTTTGATAGCATTTGTTTCTTTTGATTACAGGACAAATTTATTTGGTTGGAACTGCTAATTCTGGCAAGTCCACATTATTCAACTCCTTGTTGGCTTCTGATCTGTGTAGAAGTTCTGCTAAGGAGGTCATTGGCAGAGCAACAACTTCAATATGGCCAGGTTTTAATTATTTTTTCTTTAAACTATTTCATAATTTAAAATAATATTTCATTGACTTCATTGTAATTTCATCTTTATTTCAAACTGTTTTTTTATGATATTTTAAATTAATTCTTTTGCACGATATGAAGTGTGCCTAAAACTATTCAAACCAGCAATTTATTTATGCCTGGTAAGTTGCTTTTCTAACATTTTTTCTGATTTTTTTTCTTGCTTATGTTAATTTGAAGAAGAAATGATAGTGTTAAGAAAAAATTTTTTAAAAGTTGTTTTTGGAGATTGGATTGCTAAAATTGATAATAACAACTTTAGTGAGGAACATATAAATACAAAAATAAAAATGCAAAAACTGGATATGAAAATTTAAAGGTACGAATGTGACAGGTTTGCTGTTCTTTATATGAAATAATAGGACAGATGTAGAGGAAGTTTGTCGTATAAAGCAGAGCTTTCTAAGGATGGGTATAAGATCTGGTCCTGTGCTCTGCGATATTGTAATAAAAAATAAACCGAAAATGAGTGAAAGAATAAAGACGGGAAGTAAAATTCAACACAGACTTGATGAAGGAAGAATCTGAATAGGTAAGAAGTGAAATCCAAAAAATAAATTAGAACTTACAATCAGACAAGAGTCAACAATATTGGAGCCGCACTCAATGTAGCAGGTAAGTTTTGAAAACCAAAAAAGATTTTGTAAAACCGTGGATAACTTGAAATGAAACGTGGAAGCTCATAGAAAAGAGAAGAAATCTGATTGTGAAGAGAAAGAGAGTGACAACGGAGAGGATGAAGAGGAGAAGGAACTTAATCGCTAAATATAAAAAATGTGATGGAGTAGATATGGGACAGTGGATAGATAGATACGAAAAAGAAGGGCAATCAAGTCTTTGTAATAATAAGTAACCACGTCAAACATTTTTGAAAACTGTTGGACCAACTGAATATATTAATGACCTATTTGCAGATAAAAAAAATAAGCGCAAAAAAAGAAAAAAAAGAAATTTTTGAAATTAAATAAGAAGATAGTCGACGATGAGGAAACTGAAGCAACAATGGAAGAAACAGAAAGAGCAATGAATAAAACAAGAACAACAGAACAGAGAAGATTTTACATGCATGGGATGTCTTGTATTAGCAGTGCTTCAAATATATATTCCTACACACAGGCTTTTTGGATGTTATTGATGAATGGTGGTCACTACTGAGAGTGAGGTGGCTGTGAGTTCTGAATGAAACTCACCCATTACTTTCTTTGCTGGTGAATACTATTATGGGTGCTAATCTTTTTAATTTATTGCAATAAGGTACAGAGTTTACAATATAATTTAAATATTAAATAAAAAATAATTTTTCTTCAATTTAAATTTTGCTCAAGTTTTTTGTAAAATTAATTTCTCTGACAGGTACGACTCTGAACTTTTTAAAATTTCCAATCATGAATCCCAAGCCATCGAAGCTGCATGAAAGATATGAAAGGCTAAAGAAACAAAAATCGTCCGACTCCAATGATCTGGTTGAAGAGAAGATGCTCATGAAGTCCAGAAAAAACATGCGACCGAATCTGATCAGTTAATAATTTTTTTATTTACAAGCATTTGAATAACTAGCAAACATACATCCTGTATCAATGTCTCTTCTGATGAGATAGGCTCCACGAAAGCAATCATGTGATTTTACGTTTGCTTTAAGAACATGCTTTTTGCAAGTGGAATTTCATTTTTGAACTATCTGTATATTAAATAAGATGATATTGTTAGTATCCTAAATTGATGATTTGTATGTGTCATAATAAGATGGTGCTGTATCTACTTTAGAAAAATGATATTGTTTGTATCATAAAACGATGATGTTGTTTGTATCAAAAAAAATTATCACATTCTAGAAAAGAAGAGCTCAAATCTATTTGTCGGCGGATAACATTTTATGGAGTATGTTATGTTTGATCTGATTACACAAAATAAATTCGGCTTTCACAATAGAATAAGCGGCCTTTAACCAGTGCTTTTACTATATATACACATATAACAATAATGACAAACACCATCTTCTGTGTTCAAATTGATATGTTGTGTATGTGCCCAGATGCTCAAATATATAAATACTATGCCTCTACTCTACTTTGTTGATTCCTTGTTTGTTTAAAGTGAATACTTAACAGTAATTTAATTAGTTTTACAATCTTCAACTTCTTAAATATAACACTTTTACGTGTTTTCATTATTGATGATTCCTCTGTTTCTGAATTTATTAGTAGGAAAAATTCCAATTGCCCGTTGTTGAATATTTCTTATCGGATGTTTTTGTTTTGTTCTATGAGTATTGATTCGGCTAGTCGTAAATTATAATGGTTATAATTGTAATGTAAGATTTCAAGATTTTATTAGTAATTTTAGTTTT